ATGCACTCAAATACAAAGAATGTGCCAGAATAAAAAAGTAAATGAAACAAACAGAACTACATATAAGGTACTGTAGGACTCCCCTCACATAAATCACCTTTCTTTATTTCTCAGTTGAAACCTTCTGAGAACTATTGAGTGACAGCTATTGTCCGAAGCAAAGCAACTCTTTTGAAGCTAATACTAGTACGCTCCGACAAAGATCAACAAACCAGAATTACTGCCAGGTAGAACTGAATGGTAGTCAGTTGGACTGGTAAAAACATAACTTTTCAACTGTTAGGCAGGATCACATGTCCTCTCAAGGAGGGTAAACTTACAGCCAAAGCAGCTAAAAAATACAGACTGTACAGTACAATTGGACATTCGATGTTCACTGAAAGTAAAGCAGAGAGTCAGACGTATTCTGCGTTACTTAGCTGGATCACTGACCAGGGAGGAAGAGTTGTTTAAATTCAGGCAGAGGTCTAACTGTGAGCAAAAAGCAGGTGACTTACTCCTCCAAGTGGAATTTGGCCCCACTTCATTTTGCAACAGACATTCCCTTGAATTCCAGTTGGTAAACCCAGTCAACTGTTCTGGCATCTTAATTACATAGCCATGCAAGTGTTGCACTGAAAATGTTTTCATTTAGCAGTTCACAAAAAAAAGTCATAATGATAAAGAGCGTCAAATTGAAACCAAAGTGTTTCCAAGGGCATGGAAGATATGGACTACTGCCTGTTTGCTCTTTATTTTCTTTCTTCTGTTGTACTCTGTCAGTAGGAAAGTATTTGAAGTATCCGTAGGCCAGAGATGCAGCTGAAAACTTGTACTACTTCTGGGTTTTTTTTGTTAAACCTCTCAGGTACTTGTGCACGTATGTACTGATGTTTGTCTGTCTTTTGGGCAGAAACTATCCTACTGTTCCTTCAGCTGTAATTCAGTTGTAATAAATTGTTACTATGTTTATGACCTTCTTACTAATGCAGTTTGTTTTTTTGAGAATCTACCACAAATAGGATGACTCCATGATTCCGTAACCATCTAAAGGTTTAATTAGCTGGCATTCTCTATGAAATCCATTTTTACAAAAGCTGTAATGTTACTTAATGTAGAAGACAGTCAGAAGCGATCATCTGCAATGCAAATATATATATAAAAAAAAAAAGTAAAAAAAATAGTATCATTTCTCTGTAGTGTTACTGATACAGCTGAAGTCAGTGATCTGATTTACTAGTAAGGATTATGCTGGTTTCAGTAGAATCTTTCTACCTTAAAAAATGATAAAGCAATTTAGGCTTGTTACAGAAAAGCAATTTCATTTGTTCTGGTAGCTGTAAAGCCTAATATTTTGCTTGCCTGCCTGTCCCATAAATCCTTCCCTCTTGTTTGGCACAGGTCAAGGTAGAGCTGGGCTATTAAAACACACAACGGATGGCACAACAATACCTGCTCTTACTGCTTTCATTTTTGAGCAGTGTCAGTCATGCACTAATACTGCTGCTTCCGTCTGTCAAGAAAAGCTTAATTTGCCTACGCCTGCCCTACATAACTAACAGCAAAATGATTCCACTGCAGGAGCTGTCTAAGATGCAACAAAACAAAGCTCTTAGGTAGAGCAGTCACCAAGTTTTGCCCTTCACTGTGTGAATTTCATCAGGCTTATTTCAGCATAACTTTGTCTTGTAATTATTTTCGTAACAGAAAACCAAAAACATCTTGTGCAACCATGATCCCTCAGCCTGTGCACCTTTTAAATTTACTATTTTGAAAGACGTTACTGGGTAAAATGAGAAAATAATTCAATGGGAATAACAACTATTTTGTTAGGTGTTCAGTTACATGATTGTGTGTGTGTGTGTGTATATATATATATATATATATGAAATGTGAACCTGTGCATAAAGTGATAACTAAATTCCTATTTTAAAAGCAATAGCTACTACTCTATTTGACCAGTAAAATGTGACAGCAGATACCCAAAACAGTCCTTCCTGTTACATAGGGTTGTTTACAATCTTTTTTTAAAAAGCACATTCCATTTCACTCTTCCGTGTCCCTCAACAGTTAAATAACATGCACTAGGCATCACCTAGAATATGTTTAGATTGCAAGTTACTGTTTTTATTTAGAGGAAAAGATACGTAGAAGCTGTTTTATCTAATGAGCTGTCTTAGTCTACAGCACATTTGTGAGCCATGGGCCACCAAATGAAATCTTCCAGAACACACATGGAAATGAATTGTCCAGGGGAGGGTACGTCTCAGGAAATACTTTGCTGAAGGTAAACCTTGGAGAATCACTGTGGTAAAACATTTTCATCATTCTAGTATGCCCCATGTGCCTTTACACTTGAACTGATCAATAATCTTGGTAATAAAGACTGTTTTTCTGTAAGGGAGAAAATAATAGTTCTTGTTACACACATTTCATCAGAAGAATAATAGTCTGCATGTGGACAACAGAATGGAAAATCAGAGCCATAAGTCCTACTATCTTCAAGGTATTGTGTAGTAGATTTTAGAACAGCTTTAAAATGCATTGAAGGGTATATTTTAGTGCACTTTAGATGGCTGGTTGTAAAAAATCCAACGTACTACTTCTACAAATTAAAGTCTGTTTCTGCATCTCTTTCTGTGTATTCTTACGTCAGCCTTTTTATTACATATTCTGTAAATCTCAATGCTTTATAAAATAGAACTACATTGTGTTTAACATTCCAATGTGTATCTTTAGTGATAGATACACGTGTACATTATATAGTTGTGTGTGTATATATACATACACACATTTTGAGATGTTCTTGCTGTTCTGTGTCAGTTAACTGCGATACATACCTATTGTGCTTAGTCTTTTGAGTACAGAAAAGTGTTGCTTTTAAAATTGGATTAACTGTTGAAACAAGAACTTCCCACCAAATTCTTCAAGATGTTTTTTTTTTCACATTAAATATTTCTAAATCAAGGTAATTGTGTCTGTAAAGCTGAAATATGTCCTTCAGAAAGAAAACCGCAGTTTTAGTGTTTTAGTACTTCAGCTGTTAGGGAATATGGCTTCAGGTTTATCTGCTAACTGTTGTTTTAAATGAAGACTGAGAGGGAGTCTGACACTACTGGCACTTTTTGGGGACACAATACTCTTTTGAATAAAAGTCTGTCATTTTTATTTCATTGATGGGAAGCTGAAGCAATAGTCAGTTAACATCCAGTCCTTTAGCTACTTCTGTTTTCTGAGCAGCAGCACTGAGGCAAATATGATTGGATAGCTTGCAAAATTCTGGCCCCCAGACATCAATATTAAGCCATGACATATTGCTAAATGCCAGAACTGGTTCTGAGTATGCTTGTGAGCCCCATTCTGCATCTTTTAACATAATGAACATCATTGAGTTAGATAAGCTCCTACCTTTCTTTGGGAGCACGGTGTAGGTTGTTTCCATGCCCGCGTGGATGTGGTCAGTAACATGACAGTGTAATAGCCAAGTTCCAGGGTTCTGTGGGGTCATTTCCACAGTTTGAAATGTTCCAGGGAATAGATCAAAGACATCTGCCCGGTAGACCTCTGTTTGCTTCAGGACAAGAAGAAACAACGGTTAAATAGTGTGGCATTACCAGATGGCAGTAATTTAAGCTACCTTTTATGCATATTCCCACCACACTTTTTACAGTTGAGTGAAAAGACATTTACTGCATATCATTTCTACAGAAACATGATTTTGTACATCTATTTCATGCTTAAAGGATTAATAAACTAGCAACTAGGTGGAAATGAAGGAAAACTACAGCTGCTGGTTTACCACAGCCATGAAAATTCACAGCCCCCTTGTGGAAGCATCTTGTGAGGTCACTGTTCAGCAAATGGTACTGGCAGATGCTCTGTATATTGTATATTGGTCATACGCAGGTTTGGGGCATGAAAACTTTACAGTCAAATTACAAGTCCTGCTTAATATTGTAACACATGGCTTTTCACTGCAGATTACAGTCCTTGGTATTTGACATAGCTTTCATTCTTAACACAGCGAGAAATGAGTGAAAAGAACCTGTTACCTTATAGTCAAAGCTGTGGCCATGGAAGTGTGCTGTGTGAATGTCTATTTCATTGCCCATTCCCATCAAGTACCAGCTTACTTTATCTCCAACATGCATAGTCAGGCCATGTAAATTTCCAAACACCTTTCCATTAATGGCTAAAGAGAGGAAAAGAGCAAGACAGAAAATAAATAAAACTTTGCGTAGTGTTGTTCTCTAAGCTTTAATGGAATACAAGATCTGAAAGCCAATGCCAGGCAAAAGTAACAATTTTGAATGGTATATGAAAACAAAACAAGTGGACAGCATATTATGAATGGGTCTGACTGTATTCCATATATAACTAGAAAGCAAGATGTAGTTAAAAATTCTTTCCTGTACACCCTTGCTTATAATGCAGCTCTTTGTCGAGGGTAAGCTTTACCAGGACGCACATTGCCTTTCCAGCTTATCCAGAGCAACTGTCCGCTGACATAAAATCAAGATTTCAGATGTCATTTTTAAACCTTTATTCCTTCTCCTGAAGGATTTTTATTCCTTCTCTCTGAGAATTCAACATGGAACCATTTTTATAGGTTAAAAAAAATAAAAAATAAAAATCAGTCATTCAGTGGCACTAACAGTGCCAAAACAGTTCCAAACAGTTTTGAATGAATTTTTTCCTAGAACTGAAAATTCAGAGAGAACAAGAAAGTCAAATTTATATGTAGTATTTTCAAATACATAATTATATAGGGTTTCCAGATTTACATTAACTAAATTGGGAACATACCATGCATTTTATTACTTTCAAGGAATTCTTCATCCTCTTTGTCAACAAGGTGTGGGTTGGTAGAATAGGTTTTAATGTTTTCATCCAAGTACCATGACTCATTTTCATCAAAAACCATAAAAAGAAGAGCGAATTGAACTTTCTTTTTAGCATGAAAAGATGGCAAGTAATGTGTATGGCACACAACAAGTGTGCCTATTAATCCACTGTAAGTGTCCTGAAATGACAAATGAAAAATCATATCATTACATGATGTGACCAAGCAGTAGCATTTTTTAATGTCAGACATGAATCTTCCTAATATTTATACAGCTGTCAGCATCTGGGAATAAAGGTAGCCAGACAGCCAAGGTTATTTCTTGACTGTTACATGGTACCTATGGATCAAGTTCAATGTACTGTGAAGAGCAACTACCTCTTTTTCTTCTCTTGCCAGAAATAAACATTTGTTCCATTTTAATTTGTTGCCTTTCTTTAATTTTTTTTAATTTTCTTTTTTATTTTCCAAAATTCTTTTCAGACTTCAGGATTTTGACTTGGTTTCCATTCAAAATACACTTCTTGAGACTTTTTCATTGGTGCTTTCTGAGACACAATGGAAAGAATCCTTTAACTTACATTAAAAATTGTTAGTCATGGTAACAGGTGGCTTGTACAAAAACGTTGGATTTATGTTCCACAGTTGCATGTTAGTTTTTCCACACATGACAGATTAGATATTGAGGAAGCTATAAAGTGTTAGCTTTAAGAAGGAAATCTGAGTGAGGTGATCTATACAAACAGCAGAACCAGGAAACAAGAACATGAAGGGCTGTGACTGAAATTCTGCCCTGATTTTCTTGCATTATTCAAAGAGGTATTTAAATTCAGAGGTATGGTAACGGGGGGAAAAACTTGACAGAGAAAGCAGAAAGAGTTTCAAACTCCTCTTTTGCTGTAAGTATATTTGTATTGAATTAATGAGCAAAAGCCTTCAGATTTTATTAATAATTACCTTAATTATGTCCACTGTTGAATGGTATGCCCATGCAATGCAATGTGCATCTCCTCTCTCAGGACTAGATCTCTTTGGGATTTTCCAGACATACCTTTTTGTTTCACCTAAATGAAATAAATATAAATTAATTTTATAAGTTTTCTGTGTGCTGACCTATAAGAGGTCATCCCGAAACAGACGTAATCTCTGTAGCTGATACTTGTCTCAAACTTCCTCTTCCCAATTACTGCACTGGCCAGCTTACTGTTATTTCCCTTCTGCAAATCCCTGACATTTTGCCAACACTATATTTTTTGGTGGCTGCACTGTCCGGTTCACCATACTTAATAAAAACAATTGTACCTTTTGTAAAGATCACAGAGGAACCTCTGAAATAACAGCTAGCATAAAGCTATGCTCTCCCTATGTTGCAAAATCTGTTTCCTTTTATGAAAGGTGCAGCCACGCTGCATCAACAAATTACTGATCTGCCAAGGGCTGGGATACATAGCAATAGTTAGCAGGGCCATTTTAATTGTAGAAATATTTTTTTCTACAACTAGAACCTGAGGTGAGAACAAAAGAAACAAACAAAAATGATGTCTTCCCTGCTATCCTAACATGAGAGCTTGCTAAACCTTACTAGAAGGCTTGATATTCTGTTAGACAAGAATGCTTTGATACCTGGGTTAGTTACAGCAACAACAGAACTGTCTGTTTTCACTCCATGGGCATGTATAGAATAAGGTCTTGATGCCAAGTTCTTAAAAACTATTATAATTTTATCTCCAATATTTGACATAAGCAGTGGCCCTGTTGAATTGGAAAGAAAGATTAACTTGGTTTGACAAAAGATCAGAGCAGACAGCAAGACATGGTTGCATTCAAATACACAACATCAGCTTGTAATTCAACTAGAAACTATACACAGAAAATGACATTCACTATGATGAGCCAACCTGAGTAGCTGAAGTTAGACATCTAAAGTAGAGACTCAAGTCCCAAAGCACCATAATAAAAGTAGCAATTCCTTGTAAGTTTAAGCACTTTGTGTGCACTATACTTGGTATTGTTCAAATAGTATCTTGTTTTGTTTCACTGCATTTTTCCAGGTCAAAACTGAACTTCATGATGACTATACCTTGAATTTCCAGGTGCTGCTGCTCCTCTGTTCTGGTTTTGGGAGTACTGAATGTCTGATCAGTGTACTCGCGATACACTACCTTTCTGTATTTTGACCCAATGAATTTGTCTCCTTTATTTAAGAATGGATTGCCAGGACTGGGGGAAAAAGGAAAAACAAAATATGTTGTACATTTCTTTATGTATTTTAAAACATCTTTTTGCAGGCATGGCAATTAATCATCAAACAAATATCTAGCTCAGTGAAACGGTAATCTCATAGATGACCAGTATCTTCAACAAGAAAGGATTCTTGTTAAGCTGGGAGGCAAAGCTTAAGTGCTTTGCTGAAATGAAACATGAAGGACTGATTCTCTGCTAAGAACATGGGGGCTGGAGACCATGGGGAAAAAAAGCGGTAACAGTAGAGTCCCTATTACTTGTACTTAGAACTATGACAGAGTCCACTGGGGTGTGCAGGGCAAGAAAACGTACTATCAAATGGAAGAATAAAATACAATTAAATAAATAAAAAATATAAGCAGTTACAATCTACTACGTTACCCTCAAATACAGGTGGAACACATAGAAATTAATCCGTTAATTGTTTAGTCTTTTCTGCTCATTGGCATGAATTATATGATCCAATCAGTTCTCTCACTGAGATTCAAATACTGGGAATAGAATATCAATGTGACAAGCTTCACAGTGAATGGATTAAGTCAAGAATTTTTCTTGTGTAAACTAATGAAACTGAGAGGAGTACAAAAGAACCTTACTCAGAGTACAGAAAAACATGAGACAAAGACATGTTACATGTTATAAGAAATCAAATATCAGAACAAAGTAGTCATCATATCTACAACTTAACATTTTAATCATTACACATCAAGGACTGTACCAACATCAGTAAGTAGTAAATGTGCATGGACTGTCCAGGATCCGTGAAAAACTGCAGCTGCCCCACAGAAGATCTATGCTGGACTATTTCATGAATGTTATTCTGTCTGTCTCACAGTTACATGGCAACATTACTGTGGAAGGCTCACAAATTCAAGTGATCCCTAAAAATACATATGCAAAGAGTGTCTAGAAATGCCTCGAGGAGGAAAAGGTTCAGAGAAGTGAGTTTGTCCTTTGCTTTTTTGTATCTTTTCCCTTGCATATATTTCAAAGTACCTTTCCTCATGGTATTGATGCCGCTCAAATTCCCATGTCCTGTTAGGAGAATAGTCCCATTCAACTTCCACTGCAGCAATATAATAAGTCTTTTCATGCAAATACATAGATACATCCACATTCCACCAATGGCACTGTTTCACACTGTACTTCTGTTTCATGCCCCCTGTGTAGTGATCTGTTGTCAGGCATGACACTTCAAAAACTCCTAGAGGTTGTACAAGAAATAAAGACTTGAGAACAAAAATCTATGACTAATCTTGAGATTGTATTAATCTTGATATTGTATTAACTACATTGATTTAGATTAATCTTGAGATTGTATTAACTACATTGATCTAGCGTTTAGAGACAGGGACACAGGCTATTGCTCATATAAGACCCCGATTCTTTGTGTAGTCTGGCAACTTGTAGTAAGGTTCAGCATACACAGAAGTAGATAAATCAAGACTTCAGCATTAGGAACTTATGCCCTACAAACACAAATTTAATGTCCTTAAACACGGCTGTACACAGTTTTAGTACCCAAAGGTTCAAAATACCAGCTATTTAAAACTTATCTCTAAGCATAAAATCTTCACAGGTAAACAGTCTATTACCAGAATTTTTAAACAAGACATTTACCTTCAGAATCAGGCTTCATAATAGCTGTAAGAAATGTATGTGGAAACAGATTTGCAGTATCCCTTCTTGTTCCTTTAGTTACAAATGTGTTTTCTGAAAAGTATATCCCATGGACATCAACTTCTGACCCCAAGCCCATCAAATGCCAGGAAACCACACTTCCTTTACACATCTCAAGACCAGGTTGATTTCCGTACATATAACCATTAATGGCTGTAGAAGATTTGAGGAAGCAAAACCCACCTTGATTAACACATTACTTAATTCTGCAATACAGATTAAATAATACACACTTCAGATGGAATGTGATGCCCCAGACTGTCAATAATAAGTTTCATTACATCAGCAAAATTAGAGAATCAATTCAAGCAAAGCTTTTCAAACCCAGTGTTTAAAAACAATCACTAACTGTTCTCCTTTTCAATGTCTACAGCACATGTAGCTGACTCGACTGGCTGGAACTTCCACTGGTTTATAGCTGTTAAGTATTCAGGATACATAGAGCATCCTGTTTTATACCCTGCAAGACCCTCCAGCCACACAGCAGAGACAATCTGAAGTGGGTTTTAGCTACTCCTGCGCAGTTTTCAAAGCCTGGGCCTCACAGGTACCAATGAATGCTCAGGGCTCTGTAAAGAGTAGGAATGTCCCTGAGCACAACATTTAAGAATGAGCACAAGTAAATATGCTTAAAGATTAGGACTAGGTACTGAAGATAAAACTATTCCTCTACAGGAAACTTTCACAGTATTCAAATGTGATCAGTGTGAAACTCAACTCTGCCCTATTAAAGGAGGCTAGTGGTTATCTTGGGCTGCATTATGAGGAGTGTTGTCAGTAGGTAAGATTATGAAGGTCAGGTTGCAGATGCTATTGTAGAATTCTTTCAGCTAAATAGAGCTGGAAAGCAGCTTGTCAGAAAAGAACCTGTCCAATGGAAAGGAATGAAATGTCTCTGCCACTATACAGTTTCCCAGACTCCAACATGAGATCACAAAAGTAAAAACCTTATTATAGAAATGAGTATTTGTCTAACTATAATTTTCTTACAGTGCATTTTGTTAGACTCTTGGAAGTCTTCGTCATCTTTTTCAATTTTACCAGGATTTAGTGTAAACATCAAAATATTGTCATCCAAGTACCAGCTCAGATTCTCATCAAATACAGTGGCAAGTAGAAAAAACTCCATGTTCACATTTTTCTGTTGAGAAGAAATAGCACAAAGGAAAATATAAATGAGTGAACAGAAAATGTCAGGGGAAAAATCTGTGCACATAATAACGTATCATTCACAAATTACGATAGATGCATACATTGATACTTCTTTCTGATAATCAAAAAGCTCTCAAATTGTTTTATTTGGTGACCAGATACCTGCTGCGAATGCTCTATCAGCAGGAACCACCTCCAGAAACAAATGTGTGTTTTGGTCTTTTCTAGTCATTCTCATCCTAGCTGACTTGAATGCCAGTGGTTGCTTACTGCGATGGTGGTTTCACAACAGTGTCTATCTGCAGCCAGACTGATTTTGCTTGGTTAGAAAAACCAAACCAAATGAAAAAAAAAACCCCAAACCAAAACCCCCAAAACCACCACCAAACACAACAAAACCTACTTCCTTCATGTTATTCCCCTGAGCACGTAGTTGAGATTGATGTAGAGAGGAGAAGGGGCCCAGTGGTTGATAAAATGTGGCAGGACCTGAGGGCACAATTCAGGAGGAGAACTAAGACTCAGCTACAATGATGCAAATGCTTCCAGTTCTCTTCTTTGACTGACCTGTTTCCCAGAAGGAAGCAGAGCTCCTTTCCTGCACACCAGGAGAGGACCCACAAGGCCAGAACTGGTGTCTCTGACTGCATCCACAGCTGAGTAATAAAGCCAGGTTAAACAGTCTGGATCTTGATCTGTGGGGCCCACATCTTCTGGCACATTCCACTCATATGTAAACGTAGCACCAGGACTCACATGAGAAGCTGGAGATTCAGTACCTATTATAGAATTCAACATAAGGAATTCTGCCAAATGAACTTTGTTTATTTTATCACCATTAATACATTAACATGTACGACAGCTTTTTCCCTGGTGCTTGAAGGATTCCCATCTGTAGGCGCACCTCTGGAGGCAGCACCGTACCATGCCCCCTCGTCGCTCTTGCGGTAACTCACACCATGGGGCTGAATGCTAAACGGGTGGCTGGCATTGTTTCGGAAGGTCACCCTGATGCTCTCACCCACTTCAGCCTTGATAACAGGTCCTAGAAAAGAGCACATGGTCCAATTACGAGATGTTTCTATCAAGTGATGTATAGGTCATCATGAGCTTAAAGCAATCAATGGCTGGCTGCTTCTTCCATTGCATGGGGGCCTATGTGGCCACAGACTAGGTCCCTGGCACATGGCCTGAATCACACAGCAGCCCAGCAGCAGCTGGAATGTTCCATTCCCAATTCCTGATGGGGCCCAGTGACATGCAGGACAGTTCCTCCCTTTCGAAAGGAACCTACAGACACTAGTACCAACCTCAAACTCAGTCCAGAGCCATGCTAGAAGCAGACAGGTCATAAACAGGGCTAGACCTGCCTAGACCGTTGGTGACCATGGCATACTCCCACAGGCAAGCTGGGGATCACCACAGCATTGCCTTCAAGATCTTTCTTACACCCTGGGTGTCTCTTGGAGGAAGCCACAGGCACCAGCATCTGCAGAAAGCAGGGAGAGACTAGGACCCCTCCTTCAGAGGTGGAAGGACACTGTTGGCTTGCTGGCAGAATTGGGAGTTTACTCTCATAAATCTTTGACACAAAATAATTTTAGATATCTTACCTAAGAGTCCAAGATGTGTTTCCTCTGCAGGTCTTTTTTTATGTTCAGTGAAAGAACCATCTGTGTATTCTTTGTAAATGGCTTTTTTATAAGAGCCACCAATTCTTGTCTCACTTTGTTCAAAAAATACCCGAGATTCACTGTGTGAAAGAAATTTCAGTAGTTGCAAATAGTTCAACTCGTAATGCTCAGCTTCACAAAGACAGTCAGGACCTCAACCCTATTATCTGAGGCATAATGACATGCCCAGTTTGTCTTTCCGTTTTCCTTTCAGTGGGCTGGCTGCACACTTACACGCACTCCTACATAAGGACGTGCAAGACTCTATTGTCCTTCACTAACTTCTCCTTAAGAAAAAGACACAGTGCTGTGTTGCTCTTATAAAGCCAGCATGCTTTGAGACTCATCAGCAATGATTTCTAGTCAACATGTCATAAGCTGAAGTTTACTCTTCTTTTTATTAAAAGTTACAAATAATTCAACATTAGATACGAACACCAAGAATATGTAACATCTAAATAAAAAGTGAGAAGATTTAGTTTA